CTGTAAGGAAAAAAAATTTATTTATTTTTGGTCCACTCTCAAAACCTAATAGATCTTAACTAGAGAAATCTTAATAATTTAAAATAAAAATAGCTATGTTTACATCTAATAGGTGCACAGTAAATATTTGTTGTCTGGGCTTCCCATAGAGTTGAATAATTCTGGGAATGGAGGAGAGTAAAACACTGAGAAATAAGGGAAGACTGGGGAAGCACTTCTCTGTCCTTCCCTCCTCATCTGCTGACCCAGACATTCCTCTGGGTCATCTCCTCACCTGCTCCATCTTCCTTTCCCAAATTCCTGTCCAGAAAACAGCAGCAAATCCCACATGGCAATCCTGTATCAACCCCTGCAGGGGCCCCAAATACACTACCAGAAACGACATAATGCTCTGTGTTGTAAATTCAGATGTACTCAAGGGCCCTGAGGATGGTGCCAAAGTTCCCTAAGGTTCCTCAGTCAAACACTCAGAAGAACACTCAGAAGAACGCTCTTTCATCCCCTTTCTTCTTTCCTCTTCTAAACTCCCTGACCTTCTGGCCCAAGTTTATTCTGCCAGTTCCCATCTCAACCCCAGCCGGTTCCCGTGACTACCATCCATGCTTCACTGGAAAGATATATTCCTAGGCCCTCACTGTTCAGAGTGAAACAGCTACACATTAGTTCACTGATTAATTGATTAATCATTATTTTTTAAAACTACTCTCTGAACAATTTGCCTTTTATGGGTTGTGTTTGTGATGTAACTTACATGCATTATTATGCTAAAGGATTCCCTTCCAGTCAGAGGTAAGCACGTAAGGGCCAACAGGAGGTGAAGAGAACAGAGTCCCAGCCCACCACGTAAATGAAGCAAGATAAAGCCCCCAACATGAAGTATCCTGGCATCTATTCGTGGCACCATGTTCTTGGGTGGGGAGCAGGGAGCAGCGCCTAAGTGCAGTTCACCTGAATTGTGGCCATTTGTGGCCAGGCTGCCCCTGGTTTACTACTTTAGATTGAGTATAATTGTTGAGACCAGAACAGCACTCAGGAGCGTAGCTGCTCACCACACGCAAATGCTCCACCTGTAAAGGGAGGCATGAAGTCTGAGATGGGTGATGGCTAACATCTGCAGAGAATGTACCCATTTCCCAGCCACTAGGCCATGCTCTTTATGTGTAATACTGTGTTTTACCCTGACAACCCCAAGGCTTATTTCATATTCCATTTACACTTAAGAAAACAAGCACAGGGAGGTGGAATAATGTTCCCAAAGACACAGTAAGTAGCGGGACCGAACTTGACTCTCCAATAATCTGGCTGCAGAATCTGATTTCACCCATTGTACCAAACAGCCTTCTGATAAAGGAATAGGAATAGGGGTGGGAGACCAGGATGTGCTCAGTCTTTTGAAACAGATGAGGTAGAGTTTATCAAGCATGAGGAAGTCTGAGGTCAAGGGATGCACACAGGTGTTCTAAAACGGCCCACTCCCAGTGGCCAGGCTGGATTTGATGCGAGTACTGTCCCTGCTCAAACAAGCAGGCTGTGCGTGGGGACTAGGTGGTGGCAGCAAGACTGCCTCCTTATGGAAGGAATTGGCTCTGCCTATTGTGGCTTCCACACCTAGCAGCGCTGGGCATACAGCTAGCATTTGTATTGGTTATCTATTGTGCTGTAACAAATTATCCCAGAACTTGGTGGCTTAAAACACAGATTTATGAACTCACAGATTCTGTGGATCAGGAATCCAGGCATGGCTTACTTGTGTGTGTCTGGCTGACAGTTTCCCACAAGGCTGAAGTCACAGGTCGACTGAGACCACAGTCACCTCCAGGAGCAACTAGTGGGGGACCCAATTCCAGTTCACTCAGGGGATTCAGTTCTTTGTGGCCTGTTGCCCAGATGCCACCCACAGGTCCTTGCCACAGGCCTCTCTGACAGGGCAGCTTGCATCATCAGGGCCATCAAGAGAGGAGCCCAGAGAGATAGAGAATACTAGCAGAAAGTCACAGCCTTTTTAAAACTAATCTCAGAAGTGATACCCATCACTTATGCAAGTCCCTGGATGGGGCTCCATTCTAGGTGAGGGGGTCCCACCAGGGTGTTAATATTAAAGGGTGGGAATCATGGAGGCACCTCAGAGGGCTTTCCTTGCAGTGTTCAAAGCCTATCTGCCCACCTGAACTTCGCCCATTAAAAACTCAAATATCACTTGTAGCAGTTGGGAAACAAAACCCATAAATTTAGGTTGTTGTCTACATTAACCTTTCAGGTTGAAAGTGATTATTCAGTCAGGAACATCAAGACAGTTACCTGTGATCAGGTGTTTGAGTAGAGGAAGGAAGGAAGGGGGCTACTCCTTGTTAGCACCCTCTCACGTGTACTAAACATGAGTGGATATCCCAAGGAAGATGTAATGTCTCCACTTTCTGAATGAGGAAACCAAGACTCACAGAATTAAGGAATTTTCTAAAGGTCACTGAGCCAGGATGGGGTGGAGTTAACTCGGGTCTTCCTGGCATTTTTCCACTTACCTTCATCACTAGTTCTATTTGTCAAATAGGTCCTGTTCTACCACTCTGGGCCCATAGAATGACTGTACTCGCTATACTTTCTGGGAGGGGTTGGGCCAGGAGACTGGTTCTGTCCCATGTGTTGCACATACAGGTGAACAGTCCAGGCCTGAGTTAAACTGCAAGACCCATCGGAGGCCTCTTTTCCCTCTGCCATGGCACCAGCAAAGTTTGAGTCCCTGAGTGACTAAGATGAGCAGACCCTTTCATTCCACCCCCACCAGCCCAAAAAGGGCATGTGGCATCTGGAGTTGTTGAGTTGGGGCAGGGAAGGGGGAGGATTCAAACTCTCCTGGCTGACGTGCCACTAAAGAGAAGACCAAGGAGCAGAGAGTGGGGGTTGTGCAGGCTGCCCCACGGGGCTCTGTCTTGCCTGGTTTGTAATGGTAACTTAATAAAAAATAAATACTGGGTTCATTTCATCCACCTTTTTCTATTCTCACCATCTCCATCTTAGTTCAAGGCCCAATACTCCTACCTGGATTATGGCAAAGACTCCTGATTGGCCTAAACTGCCTCTAGTCTTCTCGCAGCATCCTGACCAAAAGCAGCTCAGGATCAGCTAGAAACTAGCAAGATATGTAACATCCTAGGCTTGGCTCCTCCTCGCCTCTCCAGCTGCCTCTGGCTCCTTAAACCTCACTCCTCTGGATCTCTGTGCTTTCCCAGTGCTCACTGACCTCACATCTCTAATCCTGGACACACACTGTCTCACCCGGCTAAATCCTACTCATTCTAGAAAGCCTTCTCTGAGTACCTTTTTGGTACCTTCTCCTCCTCCTACTCATCTTAGTGTCTGAAATGCCTATTTACTTGTCATTCTTCACCATTAACCAGCAGATTCCCTGAAGGCAAGGACTATACCATTATGTCCACACCAACTGTAACTGTTTGACACATAAGTGCTCATCAGATATGTGATGAATAAATAAATGAACTCATGCTGGAAGGCGCAGTAAAGCAAAGTTACCAAATGCCAGCATTTTTACCCTCATTTATGGATCTCTAGGGACTATTCAAACTTTCTATTTTCTAATTGGCCACTTTTTTGAGGTCTTTAGTCATCTCTCATTACATGCCAAATGTGCCAAGTACCACATGTGAATGACCTCATTTAATCTTACTCTATTACTAAGCACTGTTTCAGCCAATGTACAGGTGAGAAAACTGAGGCACAAAGAGCTGAGGTAGCCTCCTGAGGACCACAGATATTAGGTGGTAAGTGTAGAAAGAGTACAAACCCAGACAGCTTGCTCTGAGCCCATGCTCATTGCTACTTTGTAAGTGCATCTTGCTCAAAACCATTTTTGAGGGGAAATTTAAGGAAAATACTTCATTTTTTCTATTTAGATTTTCTTCTTGCTTACCAAAAGCCTGAAGAGACAACCTGTGCTTGAGTTTTTATTAAACCTCTTTCAAAGCTTGCTAATGGTGCAGGTAAATTTCAGTTATGTTAATAACTGAAGATTTAGGATGATGAACATTAGAATGCATATATATATATACCTCTTTCAAAGCTTGCTAATGGTGCAGGTAAATTTCAGTTATGTTAATAACTGAAGATTTAGGATGATGAACATTAGAATGCATATATATATACACGAGTATCTAGAGCCTCTGGACAGCCATGTGAAAAAGAATGTTTCTTCACACAAGGAGCATTTATGTACCTGCTGGATTTAACTGCAGTGACATAGTACTCGATCGTGGCACTCTCTACTCTAGTTTGTAATTTCATTAATTCATTCAATGCTGATTAAGACTCGTGTTACTGGTCTCTGGCTACTGGTTTAAAACGTTTAGAACATCTCTTGGACAAAACTACATTTAAAAACTTCGGGGGTTTTTGGTTAAATATTTTTTAGTGAAAAATGTATTTACCCAAGTGATATCCCTTTATTTAGATAAAATGAAAGACTTTAGATCCATGAAAAGAACCCGTTTTTAATTTCTAAAATAACTTTTTCTAAGATAAATATTAATTTTAAACCATTAAGGACACAACCAGCCAAAACCAAATTGTAGCATATACTCAAATGATCAGGTTTCTCCAACAAATGAATGGCAATGGGGGACGGGGAGAGACAGTGATGGCAGGAGGCCTGACACAGACACAATCAGAAGACACACTATTGAAGCCTTTGTAATGACCTTATTTAGATCCAAGTTTAAATAAACCAACTACAAAGCCATGGTTCAGATAATCAAGAAGATCTGAATATGGACTATTAAACAAGTTTTTTTAGGTTAGGTTTGAAAATGGCATGATGGTTATGTTAAAAAACAAACAAACCCAACTTTCAGAGTTATATACTGAAATATGCACGTGAAATTTTTAAAAAGTGAATTTTATTATTTTTAAAAACTACATTTGCATAGTAGAAGAAAAGAAATATTTTAAGTTTAATCAGCAACCTGATTTACTTGTTATTTAGTGTTTCTTCAATCAGTCTGACATACCTTGCATGAGTTTCGCAGTTTTTGCCTTTCCTTTTTAATGGGTTTTTTCTGGATGTCTTTTTCCATCTTTGCCAGTAATGCTTGTGGTCTAACTTCCTCTTCTTCTTTCTCTTTAACTAACCGAGCCGCTTTTAATTCAGCTTCTCATTGCTTTAATAATGGGGAATAAACTAATTTGAAAAAGAAATTTCAAATTTCTAAGTGCTCTATCATCTTACTTAAAAAATTCAATCTTTTAACAAATTAGAGGAAAAGGGGACATGTCAACTTGTTGAAGCCTGAAGGCTGAAATGGGAAAGGCAGCTGATAAAGTTATACAAACATTAGAAATGAAAAATGGACATATTAGAAATATGCATGATAGTAAAGGAATTTGTATGACATGATTTTGCTCAGTAAAAATTTGGTGGTAAGGAAGATGCTTGTAACTATCAATTAGACCAACTTGTCATGATCCACTCACAGTAGCACCTTATTCTCTGCTGTGAGATGATAGTTTCTTAAACAGATCTGAAGATGAAAGATTTCAAATATCTACAGTCCAGATTCATTAAATGTCATCTTACTTTTTCCTTTGCCTCTTGCTCCTTCCGTTTTGCTTCCACTTTTGCTTTCTTTTCTGCTTCTTTCTTGGCCTTTTCTTCTTCCTTAAATTTTTTTATCCTTGGATCACAGCTATATGCATTGTCTACCAGAAAAAAAGTGATCCTTTTGAATTTCTATCATTTAATTAAAAAACTTAAAAAATCCCTATCAATTATACTTGCCAACTAATGTTCTTATTCTGTTCATTTCTTCTTTTTTCCGTTGTGCCCTTGTTGCTCTGTTCTGCTTCTCAATCCATCTCCTCTCATCACTATAAAACAGAAAATGTTAGAAACTATTGTATATAGATGGTATGACTGGAAAATGTAATAGTTTATAAATCTATATGTAAATGAAGTCCAGAAAGATTAGAATGCCATGTCACTTTCAACATTAGCTAAAGGATTATTCCACTTATATTAATTTTGGTTGATTTTTTTAGAACATTCATGTCAAAAAAATTTCCCTCCACAGAGAGAAAACTAAAATAAAACCAGTTAAGCAACTAGAAGAAAAAGACTTTGCTAAATTGAACATTTTTGGCAATTATGTTTCTTGGCAATTTCTTAAGCATAGCCTAACCAAACACTAATTTGGCCCCATCTAGGTTAACTTGTGAGATGGAATCTCAAAAATACCAAAAACTCATTTAGAAAGGGTATATAAAGATATTTAAGACATATAGGTAGTAGCATACTCTTATATCATCACAAATACTAAAGAACCAAGTATTTTCTTTTAAGCAATGATTTAAATACATACCATTCTGCTGCTTCTTTTTCTTCTTCATCTAAATAAGAAAATTCTCTCCACAAATCAAAGTTATACCTAATATAGATAGAAATGCAATAAAATCAATGCAAAAATTTTTTTTTAATCTTTTAATTCTAAGAAACATTAGGCAAGTGGATGAGTTTGTTTTAATAGAGTCCTCCCCTCACTTTTGGTACTGAACTAACACTACACTCAAGTCTCTTCTTCCTGTTTTTTAAATGACATTGTATTTGGTATAAAAACCTAAAATATACTCATCACCCCCAGTCAAAATCAGACCTCCCTGCTCTCTCTTCATTACAGGATCTCTTTCTTGCCTGGGCTTGTTCAGGTATCCTGCTTTCATGGTCACCAGGCTGTTAGGTCTTAAGGCAACCCTAGCAATGGTTATTTTCTGTTTGTATCCTTGAGGGAAAAGCAGCTACCACTGATAGGACTAACTGTTGTCCTATTTTTTTGTTTTACAGTGATTTTATGTTTTCATTTACCAGATATTTAATGAGAAAATACAGCACATATAAAACAACTACTAAATATCATATTTATTAAAAATCAGTGAATTAGAGACAAAAGCACTACCTCCTCATGTGCTTAAGTACTTTCAATAGAAGACAGCTAAATGAAAATGTCTTCATTTTTATTGAAGTCAAATGACACCCTGAATTTCATTTTTTGCCTCTGTAGGGTGCTTGCTGTCTAGAAGTCTAATTAGGAAAAACAGATAAAAAAAATATAATCATAAAAGCCTAAGTATTACATAGGAAATAATACTGCATTATGTGAAAAAATCCTTTAATTTCTGAACAGAGTACTTTTGTTCAGTGAAGGTTCTGTGATTCTCCTATACTTCAATTAGTTTATGAACAAGTCAAGTACTTATTGAATACTTATCCTTTAAAAAAGGACAGTATCATAGAAACAGTGTATTCACTTACCAGAAAGAATAAAATGCATCTACATCTTCAAATGATGAATTCATACAACCAAGTTTAGGGACTTTTTTTTATTTGACCATCTGAAATATCAGAAGAGAGAAAAATTCAAATACTGTAAAACCCACTAGTTCCTCTTCTGGGAATTTACCTAAGGAAAGCAAAATCACTAATTCAGAATGATATATGCACTCCTATGTTTACTGCAGCATTATTTACAATAGCCAAGATATGTAGGCAACCTAAGTGTCCATCAATAGATGAATGGATAAAGAAGATGTGGTACAATAGACCATTACTCAGTCATAAAAAAGAACAAAGTCTTGCCATTGGCAACAACATGGATGGCCCTAGAGGGAAGTAAGTCTGACACAGAAAGACAAATAACATATGATTTCATTTATATGTGCAAAGCAGAAATAAACTCATAAACATGGAGAACAAATTGGTGGCTGCTGTAGGAGGGTGGGAGGACAGGCAAAATGAGTGAAGGGGATCAAGAGGGACAAACTTCCAATTACCAAATAAATAAGTCACAGGGATGAAAAGTATAGCATAGGGAATATAGTCAATAATATTGTGGTATCTTTGTATGGTCAAAGTTGGTAACTATACTTATCATGGTGAGCATTTTGAAATTTATGTAACTGTTGAATCACTATGCTGTATACCTGAATCCTATATAATAT